GTATGTTGCTAACAAGTACTACAGCAACATTATTGAAGCGGACGACCTGCTCGTGAGGCATATAATAAAGGCAGTAGAGACTAGTGAACGGTACACTATTAGCTACCACAAAGCGTGGAGGGCGAAGCAAAAGGCGATGGAGAAAAGGTATGGATCATTCGAGGTGGCATATGACACACTACCGCAGATCCTAGATATCCTGAAACAGAGAAATCCTGGTACCTATGTTGTTGTTCAAGACAGAAATCCTGGTACCTATGTTGTTGTCCAAGACAGGGATTCCGTGTGACCTCCGAATTTCCGTGTAATGGAAAGGGCATTCTATTCATTCGGAGCATGTATTCACGCATTTCAATGGTCTAGACCCGTTCTATATGTGGACGGTACTTTTCTTACCGGAAAGTATAGTTGGTCTATTCTGACGGTTGTTGGTGCCGATGCGAACAACCAGATAATACCGGTTGCATTCGCTTTTGTTGAGAGCGAGAACTACGACAGTTGATTGTGGTTCTTGCAGCATGTCAAATGGGGTGTGGTGCAAAGCATATCGAATGTATGCATTATTCATGACAGAAATGCTGGGTTGCTTAAGGCAATCAAGGAGCTCAAAGAGGATCAAAACGGAGCATACTACTGGTCGGATTTGCATAGCCGATGGTGCATGCGTCACATGGGTGCAAACTTTTTCAAACAGTTCCATAGCAAAAGGCTAATGCAAATGTTCAAGCGGCTGTGTATGCAAAACCAGCAACAGAAGTTAGAAGATCTTTGGAGGCAGCTGGATGATGCAACAGCAACACATGTTAAGTCAAAAAAGGATTGCAAGAAAGATGACCAACCAGCCCTGGAGGCCTTAGAACCAATGGACAGTCTTATTACTTCCAACAGTAAACGACGGAGGTTGGCAAGAAACATCAAGTGTTTCACACATTGGATTGAAGCAGAGCCAGAGGAGCAATGGGCATTGCTGCACGACACCGATGGGGCCAGACATGGGATCATGACAACTAATCTTGCAGAAGCTTACAACGCTGTTCTACGAAAACTAAGGCCTCTACCTTTGACAGCTATTGTAGAGGGCATTATGCATAGGACAACGGTCGTACGGTCTGGATTCGTTAACAATGTCGAGTGTTGCCCTCGACCATTGTTCGACCCAAGGTGTCATCTTAGCAAAAATATTTCGCCGCACGCTAGCATCTGCCTTCCTATTTTGCCTGCAAAAACTCATCATTAAGTGTTGAGGTAAGTAATATAATTCGGACACACGCAAATTAATGGGAATGCATTTAAATATAACTTACAAGTGTATCTTGGGGGGGACCGTTTCACCAAGTGGGACTGGCACTTCTTGGTAAAGGCCAAATTGCCTCATTACATGCTGCGGACTGTACGCCTCAACTGCTATATCGTACAGAAGCATCTTTTTCGTCAGCCAGTAAGACGAGTCACACAGGCAGAGTGTATTGAGGCCAGTAGGGGCACGGCGTTGTGTCTCCTCGTTGGTGTACGGACACCACTGAACGTTATCCTCCTTAAGTAGATCGAACACTTCAGTGAAGTATTCGTACGCACTTCGAACCTGAACATTCGCCCACTGTGGCTGTATGTTATGAAATAAATATTAAGATTATATATGTACGAAATAAATGCAAATGTTAAAAAAAATATACGTACCGGTCCCTAGCACCAATGCATGCCATAAGTAGGCCTATCATCTGTAGTGTTACCAAATAAGGTCGAATCAGCCATAGGTTCAGGCATGTACGGTCATCCCAATGGAAAGCGTTCATACGACCATAGCATGACCAACAATGGACAACCAGTAAACACAGGCTGCTTAAAGCTTGTCTTTGTGCATGCTTCACAAAGACCTCGGTAAGTTGCAGCCAAAACTGTTGATCCCCAACTCCACTGGGGAAAGCTTTGTATGTTGCCCTGCGCAATAAACCTTGCTAAGTTAATCATTCTTGCATCCACTGTGTTTCTGTGTCCACTTGTGAACATAACCCATCCAAAATGCCATAGAAGGTACGCCTCCAAATGCAATTCCACATGGTAATTTTCCGTGTCGTCTTTCATGTAACCAACCTACAAAGGTACATTGAAAAGTTCAGTAACAAAACATAATATCATCAATGCGAAGTTGTATGGTCGAATTAGTTTTACCTCGAACTGGCTGAGCCAGTGTAACGTAGGGCCGCGCGCCTCATCTTCAGAGAAAAAACATTTTATGTCGCTATCATCCTCTGGAACAATGCAAGCATATCTTCCAATGATATCATCCCTCCAATCCACTAGTGGGTCAGGGAGGACAATTGCCTGTCCTGCAAGTGGCATCCTTATAAGCATGGATACATCTTGCAGTGTAATTGCCATCTCTCCACACGGGAGATGGAAAGTGTGAGTCTCCGGCCGCCATATGTCAACCAATGCAGTTAGAAGTCCCTTGTCTATAATCTGGTGCCGTGTGTCTCTTCCCACCACATCTTCTTCTTCCTCGTCATCGCCTTCCCCTGGATTTGCTCTCCGTCGGCGTGCACTTTGTTGTCTTGCTACCATGTAATCCTAATGCCCTCGAGCCTGCAACTAACAAAAGGAAGAAGGCCTGCGGTGGACAACCTTGCAAAACGACAATCGTTGGGTCAGACAAAACTAACACTAATTGAAGTAAAAAAAATATTACCAATATTACATGTAAGCCTGTATAAAAATTAGTTACCTTGGTACCCAACGTTCGTCGACCCCCCACATTGGGCAAGTCCGCGTTATGAAGACCGACAGACCCCTTGGACAGCTGGAAGACATCTGTCGTGCACGGTGCCGTGCATCGATGTCTCTACTGAGTAACGGGTAGGGCCAATCGTCCGCCATACCTGAAATTTTCCAAATTAATCAGTACATATAAGCATTACAAAAAATGAACATCTGTGAAATATGGATTATGTCACAAATGAAGATATGGATTATGTCATTTTCATTTTGTATGTGAAGCGTTTTGATGGCCGTTATTAAACTTTTTTATTTTGCTGAAATTATTATGACACTTTTAAAATTACCAATATAGCTTCGAAAATTTCACGATAATTCCATATAGTATTTTAGTTCATCGAGATTTCCAGAAAATTAACTCGCACCATGATTTCTTAAGAAAATTTTATTCCCTTCTTCATTTCATTAGTTTACATGATTTGCACATTTAATGAATACCTAAACACATATAAAATGTATATATGCTTACCTGTATGTCTCCTATTTATTTCTTGTCCTTCTCCGAACTTATAATTTCTAAATTAAATGCACCACGTTCACACTTATAACCTTCAAAATAATGAATATATGTCAATAATAAATCTTGCAAAATCCATACTATTTATATCAATCCCAACCGTCATGCAAGTTACCTCTAAATTTTGTTCTTCCATTTGTCTTATTCACTCTCAAATGGTACACTCAACTAAAAAACTTCTTACCACATTCAATTATTCGTGCAGCACGGCTCTAAATACTAGTTAAAACTTTCCCCTTATTATGTACCCGAAAACATAATACTACAACCATTCTACGTACATAGTAAATTAATATATTTTTTACCCATTTGTCTATCTTGTTCAGATATCGTACACACAACTAAAGAAATTTCAAAATATATACATTTCTCCCACGGCCTCACACACTAATAAAAATTTATGCACGTCTTATATACAACAAATATAATACTAAACCCATTCTATATTTAAACTACATTCATACTATATATTTATCAACTTCTAACGTAAGTGGTACCTACAATTTCTAAAATGCCATATAACCGAACAATTTATATGTAATATATAAACATTATCTAAATTATTACTTATCCAATACACTAATAATTATATCTAATACATAAGCCATCACTAAACTTCTACTTTATAATATTTACATTACTAATTTACCTCTATTTCTTCAATTGCTGCTGGAAGCTCACCAAGATCTTTTCTCTAGCTCTCCTCTCTCACAATGCTACTCTCTCTTCTACAGCATGAGTGTCTCCTCTCTTTTGCGCAGCTCTTGTGTGAGGGGCATCGCGTCTCTCGCCCACTTATTTTATAGTGTCAGCTAAGTAAAAAAAAAAAGAAGACATGATTGACGTTTTCACTGTATTGACGGCGCACATTCCTATTTTGTCTACTTTTAGCAGCAGCACGGGTTGTGGGAGATAATTTCACGTGGACCAGATGATAAAAGAAGCATGCGCGGGAGAGGGCAAAGGGTGGGGCCGGGCTGTCGGTCCCACACTCCCGGCGTGCGCGACCGCCACGGTCCCGCAGAGCCAGAGCGTGCGACCGCCCTGCCACTGCCACCTCCAATCCATTTATTTGTTTTAACTGTTCCCAGAATTTTAGCACTACCACCTACAAGTTCCAATCATTTTTTTTGTTTTAACTGTTCCCTGAATTTTAGGAGTGATTGGACCTAAAGTTGAGGAGTGGTTTGCTTGTTTAAATGTACACAAAATTTTAGAAGTGACTGCAACTAAATTTTAGGATTAATTTAAGGAACTTTCGGGGGAGGGGAGGGGTGGCCCGGGACCGTTGCCCGTCTCGCAGGTTGGATATGCGGGACCGTATCGGTGCCGCATGCCCAATATGCGGGACCGAATTTGGCCCGATTGGTCCCGCAGACCACCGCGGTTCCGCACGGCCAATGTGCGGGACCGTTGCGGTTCCGCTTCTCCAGCGTGCGCCACCGCTCTGGGCACCGGTCCTGCGTCCCCAATCCGCGGTTGCGCTTCGCTCCCGCAGCGTGGGGCTGCGGATTAGGTATATTTTCGCAAATAGTTGCCATGCATGTATATAAACGCGAATTATAGAAAAAAGGGGGTATATTTTCAAATTTAATTTGCCACTTGTAAGAGTGGCAAATAGTTAATTAGTCTAAATTTTGCACTTGTGCAGGTCGTCCAAATGACCAAACGGCTATATATCCATCCATCCATCCACCTGCATGTGCAGCAGCATGAGTGCATGACCCACCCGGTTTGTTGGTTTTTTTCCAATTCAACAGCCTCCTCTCCGATACTCCAATCTCCCTTGTCCAGGCCAAGTGGCCAACTGCCTACCTGGGTGCCTATATAACCGCCAATCCTCTCACTGACGAACGCCAAGAGAAGGGGAAAAGTAATCCTCCAGCTAAACTAGAAAGAGATGAGCTACTACGGTCAGCAGCCGCCGGTGGGCGCGCCGCCGCCGCAAGGTTTCCTATCCAGATCCGTCCCTTCCACTCCTCCTCCCCATCTTCTTGTAACTGTAGTGGTTGGTTGATCGATCTGAATTTTGCAGGGTACCCGGGGAAGGACGCGTACCCGCCGCCGGGGTACCCGCCGGCCGGCTACCCACCGCCGGCGCAGGGGTACCCTCCCCAGGGATACCCTCCGCAGCAGGGGTACCCGCCGCAGCAGGGCTACCCGCCGCCGTACGCGCAGCCACCGCCGCCGCAGCAGCAGCAGCACCACAGCAGCGGGCCTTCCTTCATGGAGGGATGGTACGTCCTCCTCCTCCTCCTCTCTCACCTACTACTAGCTATTATCCCAGACAGTTCGGGCTTCGGGTTTCTGGTGGAGATTTCCTCCTCGTCGGCGATGCTCGCCGGCGGTGGAGTGTTGGGTGGGTGGTGGGGGGCTCGACGACGACGGGTTAGGCAGGCGAGTTGGGTGTGGTGGATGTGGCTCGTGACCTGACTGTGTCTGGCTCACTGGCACGCGGGCCCCACGCCTCTTCTGTGCCAACTTCTACCTTTCTTTTTCGTCTCTTTTCTTATCCGTCCTTGCGCCCACTCGCTCCCAATGTGACCTTCTAACCGACGACTAAAATTTCGAGGTCCACACAAATACGAACCGTAAAATTTCGAGGGATCATCGTCTGACAGCGACACACAGATTGTGTTTTTTTTTCTTTCTTTTTTTTTTTGATATTTTACCATATTCACCAAGTTGTAGTGAATAAGTTCTCTTTTTGTCTTTTTATTTCAACTTGCGATATGTTTTCACTGGTTAATTTTAATTCCACGGTTGGTTCACACGACGATTGAGCAGTTCGAGTGGACCAACAACAAATCACACGATTTGGGAACGTTGACAGCAATGCGCCACCACCACTAGCTAGCTAACCGGCAACTCTCGCTCTGTAAAGCGCAGCTGGAAGGGATATGATCGGTAGTGGTTGGTGATACTGCCAAGAGTAGCGAACACACAACTTGTTGGTCCCTCTGGGTTTTGTTAATTAGTATGGGATTTGCACGGGTAATAGCTGTATTTTGTCCTTTTTCGCCTTTTCGGCGCCCTAACCGAATCTGCTTTTTTTTTCTCTGATTTTGCACAGCTTGGCTGCACTTTGCTGCTGCTGCCTGTTGGAGGCTTGCTTCTGATCAAGTCTGTCCGTGTGACCAAGCAGTCTCGATCGGACACAAACCCTGGGATTGATGTGGAATTATTGTTCCTTTGAAAAGAAATATATGGAATTGTTGGGATTGGCATGTCGTGTTGGTTACTTTCTTTGATAAGATTAGTAGAATTTTTCTACCATCACAGCGTACAATTATGTGTGTATTGCCTGTTCACCAGATAAGTGTATACCCCCTTAACGAAATCATTGTATTTGATGGATTAGTTTATCTAGTTTACTGTAATATCTCACTCTCCCCGTGTTAGTGACTACAAATCGAGCCTCACGTCGAGACATCTTTTTTTTCAGACTTTAAACTCTATGATTTCATCTCAAAGTATATTCCCTCCATTTTAAATTACTTATCGATCGTTTTATGTTTGTCCTACACATGGCATTTCAACATGACTGCTCAAGAACCCAGATGCCGCGAAGCTGCCATGTTGCTCGCACTGCACCCATTGATGCGGCTTCTACTAAAGAAACAAAACCACATTGGTGATCGATTACTCACATATATACCATACACAATTTATACAATGTACAATCGCTTTTGAGGTTATCATAGAAAGTTAGAAACCTCATGAGCAACACCGGGATTGCGTGCAGTATCTCATCTGACAGCAAAATTGTTAACAGCCATCTGCCCAATCTCTGCTGCCCGGAGCCGCTTGATGTAATATTTTGATCCACGTGAAAGATCGATTCGTTTTCTCCTCTGCGCAGGCAGGGACTCAATCGAACACTCCTTGAAGCCACGCCGAACAAACCTGTGGAAATGTAGTTATAAATGAGCGACATTCTGCGTCATCCAAAGTCTAAACAATGACTGGAAGTACATCCAGAACTTTGTTAAGAAAAAGAAAAATTGCACCACAAAATTGTTAACAAATACAGCAGGTACTAGGTTGACTAAGTTTAATTCATGTCGAAACAGCACTGGGAAGCACCTTAATGGCAATGCATATTACCATGTGACAGGATTCGTTAAAAGGACCTTGAACATAAATAGAATTTGCGCCGTGCTACAGCATAAGTACATACCAGTCTGCTGTTCGTGTGGTGAGCAAGAATATTTTCTCAAGACCAAGCGATAATGCCTTCTTCTCGACGTAATCTAAAGGACAGATCACCAGGGTAAGTATAATGCATAGTGATTGACTGTAGAGCAAACAAAAATATTTCGGGAAACATTAACTTTAATACTGAGACTTGTTGAAAAACTGACACCATGTTCATTAGAAAATCCAAAAGGATATATGCCAACCACAACAGATGTTAATTGCTCATGGATGCTATATGATCTATGTAAAATGAAGAAAAAGTTGTCAATACTCAAGGTAGCAGACATGCCAAGGTGTTCTTTTTCTCATTTTATTATGAAAGTATTCAAGTTGTACTAATGTACGTAGGGTCTCCTTTTTTTTTTTTGTACTGTGGCAAACCCTGAAACCTGCTTGGTTCTGGCCTTCTAAGAAAGCAGCGGTTTTGGAATTTCAACATATTTCTTTTTAAAAAAAGTGGATTAAACAACACAAAACAGAGGGCGAATGATGCAGGACAAGATAGGGAAATCATGTTGCAACCAGTCAGTTATCACTGGTTTTCCAAACCGATGTTGTACAAACACTTGATAGCCAAACTGGTATCTACTAAAGAAATGAAAATGCAGAAATCGTACCAAGTAACTTATCCCCTTGACCCTGTCCTCGACATTCTTCAGATACAGCAATAGCGGCAACTTCCCCAGATTTATCCTCAAGAAATGGAAAGAGAGCAGCACATGCAATGATTGAACCATCTCTTTCCACGACGATAAATGACTTCAATGCTTCTAGAAGCTAATAACAAAACATAAAATATGTTCAGTTGCATAAAGGGAATGTCTGGACTGAACAGTAATGTATTTATATCCATTGCTAAATGTTTACAAAACGAGATAGTAAATGTACCTCTTTATCTGTTCGCCGCACTAGGACACCAGATTCTTCTAAGGGTCGGATGATCTTTCTAATACCAGAAAGATCTTCTTCTCTAGCCATCCTTGTTCCTTCATACATGTCTCTGTGAGAAGAAGCACACAAACATCATTTCCTTGCATGTTGCTTGTGAAATATACAAAATGAAATTACTAGTCACAAGAAAATATTCAATGGACAAAAGATCCTGTTTTCCTAATCAAAATATCAAATAAGAACCAAAACATTTTGTCTCCAAGAAACATGAACTATAAAATGGAGAAAGCGGCAAGAAGATAAACTTATTATATAATCGAATATTGTACATTGCCATGTACAAAATGGATAGAAGGCCGTCTTTCTTTTAGCAAAAACCAGGGAAACAAATGTTTTGTGAAAATATATTAAATCACTTGTTCAGGAAATATATTAGGTATAATGCAGTTATAAAGTTTGCCGGTTTGTACATTAAAACTGGCATCTAGGATAGAGAAAGTTCCAAACTTCTGACCTAGCTATCATCGTTCCAACACCATCTCTTGTGAATAATTCCAACAACAATGATCCGCCAACAGTGCCATCTATAATGTGAACCCTTTGAACGCCTCCCTGACATTTAGAAAATAGGATGTCAGAGTAACAAAAGAAAATGAACACATTACTGATGCAACTAAGGCACACATATACATCACATAGTGTTGCCTCATGGAAACATAATAACCCAAGGATCACGGCAAATATCACTTCCAACACGTTAATGGGCATCCAAGTAATATTAGACAAGGAAATGGCACATCACTCTGTAATAGAAGATAATCCAGCAGAATGGTGGTCTAATATTCTAATATATGAATAGAAACATAATGGCACATACCACTGAGTAAAAAAGTCCACTAGAAACATATTCATAAGCAGTTTAGAAAATATGAGCATCAGAATGTGGCGAAGTGCAGGGTTTAACTTTTCCCTAATTGCTGAAAGAACCTCACACTTTTTCAATCAATAGCAAAGAATTGCAAATTTTAAGGAATGGGATTCTGTAAGAAGCTCAAAACTTACATTGCATACATATGCTGCTGCTGCTAACTCTGAAAGGTAACCATTTGACCTACTCAACCGCTCTTCCCCACCAATTGCAAACCCTTGCTCACCAGACAGACCATTTCCGTTATTGAAACCCACACCATTCCGGAAAGATGCAGTATACCCATCAACGAAGTCCCTTCCAATCAATCCTAATTCTTTCTCCTCTTTGATAGGAAGATTGCGAGCATAACTAATATCCTCCTCACCTACAACTTCGACATAATTTGCAGCAATCTCACTCTGCTTAGCACGTGTTCTGATCAACATGTCCGCTTCTTCAATAGACATGAAACGATTGACTCGACCATGTTCATCAAATATTTGACCATCAACAATGCAGATAAGCTTGTCTGCCTCGATAGCTAAAGCACAAGCTGTAGCGACTTCATATGTGCTGAAAGTAACAAAAGAATAGTTATGTCAGTACTTACTATAGGAAAATGGTGCAATTATCTTCTATTTCTTATGAAATTCTCCATAAGGTATATGACATGGATGATACTGATTTTTAGATATCTTAAGAATTATGAACACAGATTCACATTAATCACAGCAAAATTTCAAATAATACAGTAAACATACTTGCAATTCAACACCTCGCCAGAGCTGGAATATCCCATATTGCTCACAACAACTATGCTATCTCTATCAAGTCTTTCTTTTATCCGTGAAACATCTATTTTCTTAACTTCACCAGTGAATCCATAATCAATGCCACCAACAACCCCCCGTCTCTGCCAAAAGAGTAGAGAGGTAAATCAATTCACCATTTCATGACTAAAAATTATCTTTTGAAACAATTGAAACAAAGGGATTTATATGACTTGCTAGCTAGAGAGGCTTACTAATTGCCAATTTTGAGTCTCACTTTCTCACTTAAGTATGTTCACATTACACAGTTGGGAATGGAAGTGCAAACATTAATTCCACTTTTGGATTCAATAGCTATTAATTTGTATAAGACCTCATGTATTATTGAACTATGCGTCTATTATCTGACAGTCATCATTGTCCTCATTGCACACGGCTGAGAAAATAAATCAACTCAATTCGTTCTACTATCCTAGAAGTGATGGAAGGTTCAGTATGTATATTCACCTTAGCGCCAAGAAAGTTTCCACTTGCAACATTATCACATATTTCATGCCAACGACCATTAACACCATGCCGACGAAGATTCAACATTGGGGGACCAGGGGATAGTTTTGCTTCTATAGTTAAGCGTATTCTGCCTGCTGCCTCCATTGCAGCCTCTAATGAATCAGAATCAGTAATACGGTAACGACCAGCATACTTGGCCTTCTTCCCTGAGAAAACAAAAGAGGGGCATTCAGTAATCACTAGCATGTGAATGGCAGAATATCAGACTGGGAAAATCATACATTATCCTAAAATTTAACTTCAATTAACAGTCGCATGTTTATGTGAGGTTGCAGATGCAGGCATCAACTGCAAATCTAATACAAGCAGAAGCTGTTGGAGTCCTGGATTTTATGTATATTGACACAAAATGACAAAAACTACTATAAAATTAAGAATCAGTGCTATAGTAATAACGAGTGGAATTCCCTACTGGTACTTTTATTATTCCAAATTACTGTATTCAAATATCTAGTTGCCTACTTGGTAAATGCTTTTGATTCGTACATGCATATGCAACATAATCTAATGAATGTATAAAATAATTAAGTCAGACTCGCTATATGTTTTTGCTTTGCACATGCAAAAAACCATAATCTAGCCATACCATGTTTTCCTTCAACATGCAAAAATAACATCTATATCTATATTCCTTGAAAAGAATGTAGTGGTGGTGGTAGTGAATCTGCCACCCCACCTACTCCCATTGCAAACACCCCCTTGAACTTCTTAATATTAAAAAACAATCAAACCTAAATGGGTAACAACATATAAATTCAAATTAAGGTGAATATTCCCTATAGAGAGAAAAATAATCATGGAAAATATATATTTTGTATTTAAAACAATATGGTAATATATTTTCTTTTATCCATAGCAAAGCACGAGCATTCAGCTAGTATTCAAAAAATGAATGTAGAAAGCAAAAAAGAAAACTAGGGTATGCTAAAAAAGTTTTAGTGCTAGTGAGTTGTAAAACACAACAATGTCAGTTGTTTGATCCATTTAAGCATACATGTGTAAACAGCCAAAGCCTCAGCTAACCTCTCTCAGATAGGAGCTTATCAATCTGAACATGTGTTCCAGGAACAAGAACAAATTTGATCCCAAGACCATGAAGAAGTGAAATATCCTGTAAATTAAAACAACTGTAATTTAGCAGGTAGTAGGGGAAAAAATAACAGTTCAGATCTCCATAACTCATAAAATAAAGTAGCAAACTCTTCTACCTAGCGAAACGACCTTACATATAACCCTGGTATAACAATCTTAACAGGACAATATTGACTGGGAAGTGGAAACGAAGGGCAAACAACTGAACATGGGAATTTGCCATCATAATGGCCACAAAGACGGGACAAAACAAATTATTTGTCCAATGCAAGCAACAATTAGATGTACCATACTTATTAGCACTGTCTTTATCTAAACCTGTAGCCGGTAGAAATAGGCATTTAACAACTGCACACTAGAAAGTTTGACCTGAAAAATGGAACTCAGTACTTACCTACCACGCACATAGAGCATGTATAAGGTTGATCACACCAACTTGCAAAATAGTAGGACCAGACAAGTTAAACGAAATGTCACCAGTTGGTACCCAAAAAAAAAAACAAGAAGAAGAATGCATGGAACTTGCTTTGAGTTGAATTAACAAAACAACAAGACTGAAAAACTCAAGAACGATAAATTCTACTTACAAGGAAAAAAAATGATAAAATCCAAAAAAAGGCAGGTGATATCAACAAGATGAAAAATTTCAGTAAGTTAGTTATATATAGCCCAGAAATGTCTTCTTTTATTTTAATCTTTATGAAAACAACATGACTTTTTTTAATAAGCTCTTCTCAGTGAGCAAAGCAAGTGGAGCTGGTCAACCTATCCAAGATTTTGCCACAAGTTCAACGGAGGCGTTCACATGAAAAGGACTGAAATAGGTGGTGAAAAAAACAAGGGAAAGTAACACACGTGCAACTAATAATCTTATCTATCTTCCTAGTTCAATAGAGAGGGCGGAACTTGTTAACTTTAATTACCTCAACCTTTCCCTAACAGATCGAATAAGCGCCTAAGATCCTCCAACGATGTTGATCTCATGGAAGCACAAAAACAGTACAATGATGGAAGTGATACCCGGTGAAGCAACGCGACAATGAAAACCCATAATGGGACACGCCACCCAAATGGTCTAAAATTTATCTGTGATGTAATGAAATCAGGCAGCGACACAGCCTGCTACAGAGTATGAAATGGATCGATTCATTCCATCCACTTAAATGGAACAAATAAAACTTCACAAGAAAAAGTTACTAAAAGTCGGTAGACACAAATCATCTGCTAATAATCTGGTTTCCTAATCAATTTCACGAATCGCCCCTTCTCCAAGACGGTTTTTCCATTGCCCCCTGAATCGGATTCGACCAAAGAACAAATCCACACAAATTCAAATCGTTGGTTTTAATAGCACAAGAGAGAGCAGGGCGAGGCGATACCTGGAGAATGCCGTCGAGGTGGGGCCCGGCGACGACCTCACCGGAGACGACGACGACGAAGGTGCTCCCCCGGTGGCCACGGACGTAGGGCCAGGCCTCCCGAAACCACCCCACGAACCTCGTCCCCTCCTCCTCCTGATCCTCCGCCCCGCCCCCGCCCCCGCCCCCGCCCCCGCAGGAGGCCCCACCGAACGACCGCCCCGCCCCCGCCCCTGCGCACCGCACGACGACGCCCCTGGCGCACTGCCGCCGCATCGGCATCGCCACCACCCTCCCGGCGCACCGCGCCCGCCACGTCCCCGTCCCCGCCCCCGCCGCAGCTGGCGCCGGGGACGCCTCGCCGGCGAATCGCGCGGCGGCGAGCGACGCCGCCGCCGCCATCAAAAGGGGTCGACGAGCCTTCTGTAGTAGTACTGTAGCAGTAGTAGTAGTAATCTGTACGCGGCGAGAAGAGAATGGAATGGAATGGAGCGGAGCGGGGAAAGCGAGGGGGAGAGAGACAGAGAGAGAGAGAGAGGGAGGGAGAGCGAGCGGTGGAACGAGTGATTTGGCGCGCAGCGCAGCGACGACGGGGTTGTGGCGTGGGTCGCGGCGGGGAAGGGAGGAGGGAGGGCGTTTTAAATACGCCCGGGATTTTGGTCGGGGGGTGCCGGATTTGGTGTTGGACTTTTTCTCGCTAGCTCTCGGTTTCTTCTCTGTCCTCCTTCTTCCGGTGATCGCTATTGATGACTCAATATTGCCGTAGTTTATCAACATTTATCTGGGAAGATCAGGAGGAGAAGGCGCCGGTGCAGTGCAGTGACGGGGAGGCAAGGGGTTGGGCACGCGAGTACGCGACGCGCGCGGTAGGTGGTGTCTGATCACTGGTTGTGGTGGGTGTGCGAGTGGTCGCCGGCTGGCGGCCTCTGCGCACGTGGAAGGGCGCCGCCGCTACAAGGCGCACGCCACGGCACCTGGAGCCTCCAGTGGCTACCGTAATATATACTCCTTTCATCCCATAAAAAAACCCTAAAATTAAATATAACATATTTTAGTACTGAACATATGTATATATTCTAACTTCTAAGGTAGTACACAGACACAAGTGAGAGGATCAATGGAGATTATTGGGTCCCGGGGAATATCTCATAGTGTGATGTTTTCCTTTTTTTCCTAAGGTGATCTCTCATATTATGGTGACCTCTTGATGAATGCCTTTCCCATCGTCGAACCAACATTTAGCCTAATTGCTTAAAGATTCGTACGAGCTCTCATCTCTCCCTATTTACCCAAAATCAACACTGCTCAGCATACCATCATGACCCTAACCCCACCTTCTTCCTATGCCAACACCTGCGCCGGCTTCGATGACTTCGATGAGCCCTTCAGCCAAGATCTCCCCACCATCTTCCTTGCTCCTCCTTATGATCTTCCAACACCACCACGTCACCTTTCTTCCTCATCTCTGATATCTTTTCCCCTCCCGCTAACTATGTCTACATCCTCACTGCTCTAGCACCTCACCGTCGACCCAGCCCTCTATAGCCATCCTCATCATCCCTCTCCCATTCCCACCACCTCCATTTCAAAAACCATCTTTAAAATTATTTTGTTGCATTGGATTGAACGGATTATCTCTATTTATTTTTGAAACTCATCAGATTACCCCGTGTTGAAGTTGCGTAGAGTCCGAATAGATTACACACTATTTATCCCGTTAAGTTACAACAATCATTTTCTATAAATTGTTTTGGTAGTACATGAACTAATAAGGTGGATACAATTTAGTATATAAACTTGTAAAACGCTCATCTTAATACATAAATTTGTTCGGTGAGTGCGAACCAAGGCTAAAAGAATACGATATGGCTAATTTCTCTTATTTAAGTGTTGATGAGGATACGACATAAACGCGTATGCGAGAAGATGCCACATAAACATAGGTATGTTCAATAAATGTAAAATAAGACATAAATATTGTATAAAGAAAGACATAGAAGAACTAAGATGCAAGGATGGATAAAAAAGAAGGATAATATAGAAACCAAGTTTAACATGTCTCATGCCCACCTCACACGTGCATATCATGTCCTAATAATTAGCATCCAACTGGGCAAAATTAGCCTAGTCATGCTATTTTGATCTTGGTTTGCACCTACCAAACAAGTTCGTGTATAAAAATAAGATTTTTATAAGTTAATATACTAAATTGCACCAAAATGACAAGTTCGTATATTTACTCTTTTTTTTCATTTAGTATCCATAATAACCATTAAAAATAAAAAGAATAAAACCGCAAATTTCGTTCGACTTCTCCTGGTTCGACACCCTCATTAGGATTCCCTTCATCTCCATCCACGCAAAATGGGAGAAAAATCGTGCTGATGTAAATCTATCGACCTGCCCCCATCATAGAGAACAAGAAGATAAAAGAAAACATCAAATCCCAGTTCCCTTCCGACATTGATCTCTCTACCAACATTATCGCCATTGTCGTCGTCTCCAGCAGAGACAAGACTGCAATGAAGAGCACACACTTGAGCTCAAATTGGCCATGATACCCGGCAAAGACCTCTCCGTAGAACAGTGAGAGAACAGTGAGCCTGATGCTCACGGGATCGTGTCACTGCTCTCTGCTTTATTAGATTCCAAGCCAGATCTTCCTTGTCTTCGATCAATCGAGCCTCGTGCGTGGGTGGGTACCATCTTTGATTCTTGTCCATTTCTTTTTTGCCAAAATAAATAATTTTATAAAAGAAAAAAAATCGTCCACGTCAGACTGATTGGAGGCATGATGACAAGAGCTAGCTAGCTAGCGAATCTTAAATTTTGCAAATTGGTCATTGGAAAAAAAGACTGCGATTTCTATATCTTGGAATTAATGTAGCTGAACAGTGTGCAGAGATTATGGACGACCTAGGTCTACAAGTTGCAGAACAAGAAAAACCTCTCTCGCGTGAAAGGTACCAGCATGATTGGATTGGAGGAGCAAGCGTGATAACGAGATGTTGAGTAGTGGATCAAGATCATCTACACATAAAAAATTGCTCATACTCCTCTGTTCATAAATATAAACTTTTCTAGCATATAAAATATGTCAACAAATACTGTTTTTCTCAATCCAACTACTTCATATGGTTCTCTGTAATTTTTGTTGCATGGCTAGATATGATCTTTCTTCAGTCAAGTAGGATCTTAGAGGCATTAAAATATTTTACCTTAATATCAATCCCCGCTAAAACTGCTAAAAGCGATGCATAGATACATATGCTCATATGCTACCTGGAATGCAAATCTATCGTATATATGTGGCCTTTGTTTACACTAACAGATTTGAGCACGCACGACCCCGATTAAAATGGTGTTTTGTGGTACTTATTTTTGCTGACATGGAAGATAAGAGATAAGCGGAGAGAAAGGAACAGCGAGGAGACAAGTTGACATATATACCCCTTCGTCTCCTAGGTAAAACCCGGCGTGTTTCTGCAGGAATTTAGTATAATAACAATAATTTAAAATAATACGTAAAATAGTTAAACGATATAAGCTTATATAAGTTGACGGTTTATGATAATTTAAATGTAACAATAGTATATAGAATGATAATTCAAACAGTATATGGAATATTGATTCAAATGCAAAAATAAGGTGACATGGAATTATGAGAGAAGAAAAGGAGGAACATAATTTGGACCGTAGATTAATTATCTAAAGGCTAAAACAATTGAGGTGATATATTTTAATGAGAAAATGAGGAAGATAATTTAGACCACACATTAATCATCTAATAAGGGTTAAGCACAATTGATGTGATATGGCTTAATAAGAAAAGAGTGAAATAACATTAATTAATAAGATTAACTATATAGGTATATATGATATTATAAAAACGATGGAGAGATATATTAAGATATTATGTGAATTATTTGGGTAGTGATTTAACATACTTACATTAAAAGCCCTAAAATTTAATAAATTATAGAATTATAAATAATATAGCTTGTTTGCATGATATTTTATATTTAACAATTGTTAAAGGATAATGATGTGACATCTTTGTGTGTTCAATTTTAGGATTTAGTGGGTTGTTGCTTTATAGCATATCGGTGATATGGGGCCGGGGGTATCATGTTTAGAGGGAGAAGGTCGCCCCCCGAATCCCCGTGGCATCCCCTGAGGGGGTGGCTTCCGGGGTGGAGCGGCGGCTGCCCCCTCCCAGCTTGGGGTACCGAGTTTGGAGGGAGGAGGTTGCCCCCAGACCCACGTGGCACTTCCCCGAGGAGGGTCGGGCCCGGGGTGGAGTGGCGGCTGCCCCCTCCTCGCTCGAGGGTCGGACCCGTCCCAACCCCCTCAGCGCATCAGCCTACACGTGCGAGTTGGGTGGGTGCGCACAGTGCCCACTTAACCACATTTAAAGCGGACCGAACGGGCGCGCCAGCGTGCAACACGCCTGACAGGTATGTGACCGGTCGAATGATTGACGGGACTAGGGTAGTGCGCCTACGCACTGCCGCGCGTCAGGCGGCGTGCAATTGCCTTGCCCCGTCACGTCGTCATGATGAGAGGCTTTTAGCCTCTCCTCCCAGCCGGAGCTGGTTCATCCGTTTTGGTCAAGCAGGGTTCTCGTTTCCCGGTGTGAAGAGAACCCAAAAGTCTTCACCCATTAAATGGCGAATGACACGGGCGTCCCTCGTGTCAGGCGGCATGATTTGACAGTCCCCACGCTGCAGCGGGCATGCAAGAGACTTCCAAGATAGGCTCCATGGGCCCATGTGGTAACCCCTTGAGATATAAAAGGAGGTCCAAGCTTACTTAGGGAGGGGATGAGCGCTTTTTCACGAGAGCAGTCTCCTGCCTCTTATCATCAACACCTTCTACTCCAACAAAGAGATCTTGTAATCTCTCTTCCTCAATCAGCATAGCACAGGAGTAGGGTATTACGTTTCTCAGCGGCCGGAACCTGTATAAACCCCTATTGTCTCATCTCCCCCGAGGGGCCCGACCCTCTCTTGTTCACACTCCACCACAGAGTCCTCGAATCTCAGTCACCGCCCCCGGCCGAACAAAAAAGGGGACCTCACGGTTCCCTGGCAGAGGAGTTCACCCTCCGACATAACAAGATAGGATTTAGTGGATTTGTTTTAGTTTTATATGGTGATTATAAGTAATTAGGTGAAATTAAATGGGCACTGTTACGATGGAATGAAATGAAAATTATGTAGAAAAATTAAATGAGAGATGATAATGCTTGATTGAGATTATTGAATAAGTGGAGAAAATATGTGATAAATTTTGAAAAGCAAAAGTTACCATATTTTTAAGACGAAGGGAGTAACACAGAACGATATAGATGCGAATAATAAATGCTAAATGTCATACGCCTCTTGTACATCTGCGTGTATATATGTTACCAGATTTTAATTGATGTTAATTAGGATTAATTGATCAAACATGTCTGTGCGCATCGTCTCAGATTAATGGTGTGTTTAGTTCGCGAAAAGAAAAATTTTAGGTGTGATATCGGATGTTTGACCGGATGCCGGAAGGGGTTTTCGGACATGAATGAAAAAACTAATTTTATAACTCATCTGGAAACCGTAAGACGAATCTTTTTAGCCTAATTAAGCCATCAATAGCACACATGGGTTACTATAGCACTTATGGCTAATCATTGACTAATTAGGCTCAAAAGATTCGTCTCGCGATTTCCATGCAAACTATGTAATTAGTTTTTGTTTTTATCTATATTTAATGCTCCATGTATATGTCAAAGATTTGATGTGATGTTTTTGAGAAAAAATATTTGGGGAACTAAACCAACCCTAAACACAAGTGTCTGTCTTGGTCAGCCAACTGC